GACCCTCTCCCTTTCTTTTGTATTAACTCAAAGTCTATTCTCTTGAATGGTAGAAACCATAGAAATGTATATACCCTTGGCTCTAAATTTGCATCAGCTTATTATGATTCACTAGCCTGAAGTAGGAGAATTCATACAGTTCCAAGAGCTGTGATTATGATTCTAGGAAATACAACCCACCAAACAACTGGAACATAAGAATAAAACAACAGAAATTATCACAGTGAATGTCTGAAAAACCTAGCAAAACATATAATTAATATGTTGACTTTGCAACAAACGATTCTGTGAGTGCTGTTAGTCCAACAGCTTCTACATTATGATGACTAGAAGATCCCTAACCAACCCAGTTTAAGAGATGAAGTGCCCTCAATTTTCAGGTTAACAAGCAATCTCTTCCATTTCCTTTACTTAACAACCAACCACTAAGCTTCAGGTACACATTTGGCAACAGCAGAACAGCTCTCTAGAACGGAATAAATGGAGAGTGGGATAGGAGGAAGGGAAATATAGTAAGTTTTTCACAACATGGCTGTTATAGAAGTGTTTTGCATGACTACACATGTACAACCTGTATCGAGTTGCTTCCTTCTCAATGAGGGTGGATGGGCAGGGAGGAAGGGAGAGAATTTGGAACCCAAAGTTTTAAAAACAAATGTTAAAAAAATGTTTTTACATACAACTGGGAAATACAATATAAAGGCAATGGGGTACAGAAATCTATCCTGCCCTACAGGAAAACAGAAGGGGACGGGGATACAAGAAAGGTGTTCGTGTGTGATAGAAGGCAGGGCAGATCAGGGGAAGGGGTAATTCAGAATATATGCCGTCTTGCGGTGGGGGTAGGGTAGAGATGGGGAGAAAATCTGGAACTCAAAATCTTGTGGAAGTGAATGCTGAGAACTAAAAATAAATTAGTAATAATAAAAAAAAAGAGAACAGCTCTCTAAACACCTTTCTATTCCAGTGCTATTACTTTTCGTAAAATGAACTGAAAAGCTTGGGTCTAAATGGCTGGTAACATTTTCAACCTCTGTGTTTCCATAAAGCAAATTTCTTAAAATACAAATATTTCGATGACTAATTAAACAGGAGAAACACAACCAAGAGATCTAAAGTTAAGTTATTATTTTTTAAAAAACATATAATATATCTTGTAAAAAGCAACCATGGTGTGTTTCCCTCTTCCTCCCCGGCCAGGTGACAACCGCAGGAGTCCCCTCCTACTTGGGTGCCTTTCCCCTTCCCCTCTATTTCAAAGAAGTCGTCAGTGCCGGCAGCCAGGATCAGGGAAACTAAAAGGAGGAAGCAGGACGTTACACGCACACAGAAAACGGAGCACGGCAAGCTACTCCAAAGTGACCTCATTAACGTGCTTCAGTCCCACGTGTCTCAGAGAAGGGCGGTTTAAGTTTATTTTCATTCAATTCTTTTCCTTCTCCACAAAGAACTGAAAATTATGCCTACTCTGATGGTAGTTCTTCCCTACTCCTTACCTAAAAACTGAATGAATCAGCTATCTTAACTCAACTGGATACATTTATCACATGGAAGAATCTCTAAGACAGAACTAATTTGGGCTGGATTCAAACTAGTGACCTTAAGACGATCAGCACTAATACCAGGAGAGTCATTCTTTCTTATTGGACAATAAAAAGAGATCTGCTGCTTCAAAGAAAATCATTATTAGCAATATTTACCATATATATGAAATATAATCACCAGATGGCACCCAGTTATCAATATGAACAATAAAAGGTCATTTCAAAATAATGAGACTCTTTGGACCTTCTCCCATACCAGACCATAGCTAGCACGTATATAATGCTTGAAAGTCTGCAAAGTGCTTTACATCCATTATCTCATTTGAACGTCGTAACATAGTAAGTTAGGTGCAATTATCCCTATTTTGCAGATGAGGAAACTGAGGCCGAGAAGTTTAAATGTCTTACCCAAAGTCACACTACTAACAAACGTCTCAAGCAATATTTAAACTCAGGTCTTTCTGACTCCAAATCCAACAGTCTATCTGCTATACCACTTAAGTACCACACAGACCAATCTAAAAATATGGAAACTGGCACTCAGACTCAAAATAACATTCTACCACTATTCCAATATGAATATTGCTGCTTTTTAAGAAGCTAAAACGAGCTATCACACATAGAGCAATGGTGAGATGCATGCTTGTGTGACGAAACTGCACATAAAACCCAACCATCCAATCAGAAAGGAACTGTAAGCTAGGAAGAGAAGTTGGGCTGTCCTTTGGCATACAGCAAGTGGTGATAAACAGCCTCAGTCCTCTCGGGATATCCTGACAATGCCAAGGGAACTTGAAAAGTCCTCCAGCACACTGGGCAGCAAATTTTTGGGGAAGCATGGATAAAAGTTATACATGGAATGGAAATGGAAGGTGTGGATGGGTTGCCATTCGTATCTCTGGAAGGAACTCCCGAATCGATCAGATCACTGATTCCTCTGAATATTAAATTTCACAGAGTACTTTAAAATTCAATTAAAAAAAAATCAGAGAAATAATGGGGACTTTTTACTTAATCATCACTGTCTTAGGTCAGCCAAAACTTTCCTTTAACCACATAAAGTTGCCCTGAGGTTGAAATGTTAAGACACTATTTACCAAAATCCATGCGGGGAACAGCTGCATGTTTAAGATGCCAAAGAATTTATTTAATGTAATGTTTGGACAAGTGGTTAGAGAACAATATTTTGGGATAAAGCTACACACCACTTGCATCCTATAAATCGTTCCTTTACATAGCAGAGTCTTACGTCTTATTTGAATACAGCTAAGAAAAGAAATAGCAACTTAACCTTAACTATTTGTTGACTGAATAGAAAACTGTGGTCTATTTACTAATATTTAACGTTTGAAATTTTTTTTAAAAAGCCCTTACATTCAGGGATATGTGTTTCTCTGTACTTTAAATATAGAAACTTAGCATGAAACATCTAATATTACTATGATTAGAGAGCCTCAGAAGGCATTTTTAAGGGACTACTTTTAGCTATTTATTAATACTTTTACTCACCTCCAAAATATAGTTACCAAGCTACACCAAAGGAATGTTTAATAATGGATCAAATCATAGTGTTTAAAACATTCTGTAAACCAATAAATGCTATATAAATGTCTGCTATAATTAACAGCATAGATTCCCATGTTTTAATCTAATTTTCAAAACACAAACAAAACCTGAACATAAAAACAGAAATGCAGTTAATTACAGATGCAAGTCGCATCCAAAAGGGGACTATAGTTTCTATTACCTCTAAAAACTTCCTAAGCTCCCAAACTGTAATACATGAACAGAGTATAACAGAATTTAAGTACTAGCAGTCTAGCTCATTCAGGGAATGTCAATTCCTATCACAAGAGAAATAAAGAATGGCTAAAATATTAACTGAGTCTGTCCTCCTCTCATGGAAGTCCAGAGGCTGCCACTGGCAGTGTGGTTGAAATGATTTGTAGAACAGACAAATACTCAGACTGCCAACATCAGGTAAAAGACTTTTGACTTTGGTTCTTGTGCTTTTGAGAGACCAAAAAATAAAAATAACTCATCAAGAGCAGAAGGCAAATCTAACTTTTAAAATGTAAAAAGGAGAGATATTAATCCTTTCTTTTATTCAGTATCACAAATAATAAACAAAAGGCAAGGCCACCTGGCAAGAGCTTATTTTCAGATCATTTTCCTTACTTACTTCACTTCCCCAAATCAGCTTCAAGATGAGAACCCTTCAAAGCTCCAACTTAAAAGTAACTATTTCTCTATTGGAAAAGAAACATTTACCAAGAACTGTGTAAGTGAAAACAGTGACAGGTCTCTCCCCAACAAATTCAACACTGTCCCTGGCCTTTGTATGGATTTATGACCATATTTCAACAGTATCCAAAGAGCCAAAGAAAACTACATTTTTACAGAAATCACCAAGATGATGCAGTAGAAAAAAAATACAACTTAGTGAGGCTTCAAAATAGGAAATAACACATGTACTGAGGGAACCATTCATTTATTTGGAGAGAATGAAGTAACAACAAACAGCAGAAGCATTACACTAACCTAATTCCCAAGGTATTATGGCTTTATAAACAACAAAAGCACTGTTCCGAAACTGAAGTCTTGGTACCATGCATTTAGTCATAAACAGTTCTATGTTCACATTTTGAAAACAATTATGTGGTAAATAGGAATGTTGACACCCCAGTTTTTTTTTTAAATAAAAAAGGCATTTTGAGTAAAATAATTCCTCTTCCTATATTTACTTCCAATGAAGATACTATTTAATATTTTAATTTTGAAGTTTTTTAAGTGAAGGAAATCAATGCCATCTGTCAATATGAATGATAATAATACACTTGCAGATAGAGACTGACAAGTATATTAAGACAATTTATGTTTATTTAGGACTATTTTAAAACCATAATACAAGAGGGAGATTTTCTATATTTTACTGAGAATTAATAAAAACAATCCATTACTTACAGTTTTGTATATGGGTTATTTCCAGATGCCTTAAACAAACTTACAAAATAAGTTTCTAATTAAATATTATAGATTAGGAAGCTTCATGCAACTTGGGAAATGCTTCCTAAATGCAAATTTGAAATCAGAGGCAAAAACAAATTTTTTTATGCTATTCAAAGATAATTTTTTAAATAAAAGCTTCTGTTTTAAAATTCACAGCATGTATATGAAATGATCCCACTTAATTGTGTACTATTTGATGTGTGACACTTAGTAACCCCTCCAAATTCTTCAAAAGTCAACATAAGAGACAATCACAACCTACATAATAACCAATCTGTCATGTGATATTTAGTAACCCCCTCCAAATTCTTCAAAAGCCAATAAACAATCTGTCATTTTCCAAGAACTGAGTGATCACAAGCTGAACCCACAAAGAGAGCGTAGACTTTCTCATATGCAGAGATACTAAGGCATATTATTTTCTAAAAAGCCACCTTGATTCCTTACCTGACAGGGCTGAAAGGCTCTATCTTCAGTTACAAAATCTGTTCGTTTATCCACAAGGAATTCTGCAGCAGCAGTACAGCTTTTTCCAACTACAGGTTTGAATGCCTGGGGGAAAAATGAAATAATACATGTTAACAGAACAGATTACTTCAATTTTATATTCAAAATGGTAAGCAGTATAATTTGATAACTTCATTATCACTGAAGCCTACAGAGCACCAGCGTATTATCTTAGAGAATACAACTTAAACCAATGTTTTACAAACATTTCTGGCTTATTTACACCAATAATCACCTGAAGGGTCTCCAAGAAACAGGATGTAGAAGGCTTTTAACTCCCCACCCCCACCCAGGCAAAAACTGAATTCCAGATGCATCTATGAAGAGGGGGGAGGTGGAGAGGAAAGGGAGAATAAGGAAAAGGCGGCAAAAAAGAACATTTAACACCCAGTGCCTTACATTTCCTTTTCTCCACTATCCCTTACAAAAAGTCAAACTCAAGTAATTTATTTTTCCCAAGCAGAACTATTTGTTTCCTGGAGTAAGCAAGGATTTGTGAGTAAAATCTTGTGGCAGACTTGAATTCTTTTGTTTGGGCATGAATATAAGTATATAAAAAAAAGCAGGTGGGAAGTTTCCAGTTCAGTTCAGGAGCAATGAATTTGAGAGGGAAGAGGCAAACTCCCTTCTTTTTTTCCCTTTAAAACCCTCTGAAAATGTTCTAATCTGAAAATGTCAATGTCGTTCCACCCTCTCACAGACTTTTGGTAGTACCTTTACTGTAAAACCAAAGTTGAGAAAATAGAGAATTGGAAAGGGGATACACTCACAATTTCTAATTCATTTAAGTGATATGGAGAAATCTTTCGAGTTACTAGACCCTTATTCTGGGAACAAATCATGCAATGAACCACTTCGATCATCTCTGCCCCAATGAGACACCTCTCCAGGTACAAAGTCATTTGTACTTTCCCAGATTCTGTGGCAGTTTTCCCCCCAGTTTTGACAAAAGAATCTGAGAAAAATAAGTGCCTTTGACCTAAACATATAGCCAACAAGTGATACTGGGGAGAACTGGTTTCAAAATGATAGGCTGACACTTTTAATTCTGATTAGTGCTTAAAGAGTACATTTCTAACCATTAAAAATCCTTTCTGAAACCTTCAGGTGCTCTCAGAATAATAACAGCTTGCATTTACGTAACTCTTTAAAGTAGACCGAACACTGGGGTATATTCTCATTTGATCTCATGCATAAACTCTGTAGTACTGTCCAAAAAACTTGAATACAAGGAAAATGCAAGTTTAACAAGTTTATCATGCCCTACCAAAAAACTCAGCATCATAAGGCTAAAAGATCTTCTCTTCTATGAAATACAAATGACTACTGAGGAAATATCCTGCTAGTTGTTGGGTAACTCCAAAAAAGAGATCTCCAGAGCCCATGTTTGTGTGTAATGTCATTCAGGCTGGCTTATTTAGGTGGATACATTTCAAGTCCAGACCTCACTCACCCACCAGTTGATTGTTATAGTTTTACTCAATACAAAAGAGGGAACAAACACCTATTGTGTTCCAGGCACTTACGACAAACAGAAATCTCCTTTTACACTCTAACGGGAGGTGAAGGCAGCAACATCTCTTTGCTCGTGACCGTGACCGGCTTTATCAAACATGAAGGTAGGTGACATTACAGAAACTGTTCTGTTCCTTAGAAAAGACTTTCTTGCCTTTCCATATACTGGTGTTCTTTGGGTCAAGCTGTTTAATTTGTGGTAACAAATACAGAAATATTCTGTTGAGAAATTTTTAATCTTTAAACTTCATCAAAGTTGTATTTGTCCTTAAAAATCACATTATGGGTCAAATGTAAACATAAAAGTTCACAAATGACTTTATAATCTAACTGAATAGAACTGAAGGGTGGGGGTGGGGAAACTGGAAGAGAAACTTTCCTAAATTCATTCCTCCTAAGCCTGTGTGCTCTTCTCTCTAGTGGCGGAAAGAATACAGGTGGTTTGCATTTCCTATGAGACCTAGCCTTTTTTCTAATTTGAAAAACATTCTTCAACAACACATGACCTCTCACAACTCTTTCAACCCAGGTCCCATAGTTCTATGGATAATGTTCAGCCTGCAGCAATCACGGCTATCAACAAAATGCAAATCACTGTCATTTATGGACTGATTAGGAAAAAAGGGCAAGATCTCCGCACATAAATTATGTTTTAATATTTCTCGAGCTATAAAGTACATAATAATTGGAAACTACTGCAAACAAGGATTCCTAGAATTAATGCCAGTTCCATTAATGGCCAATCTACTTGTCAGATGCTCTAGTTTCAGTCATGCAGAAAATAAACAGGATGCCATAAGAATGAAATGGCCACGACTCGCAGTTTTGAAATTGTGTGAAATACGTCTTATTTGCAAATAAACAGCTATAAAGTGCTTACTAACATTCTGGAGTTCTTGTTGAATAATCATTCCAACATTTTTAAACTAAAAATTCTAAAAATTCATGACCAGTGCTTCCTTTTTCCTTAAAACGCCCAAGTACAAGCAATACGCACAATCCTCAGGAGCAGACACGAATGCGTTTTGCTTTTAACCAGTGGTAACCAACAACGCCACCCCTGTCCCTTCCCTGCCGCGGTCTAAAACAAGTCTTTCACAAAACAGATCCTGCACCCCTAACTTGAAAACCCAGCTGGACACGAACGAGCCAGGCGCTTCGGAGCGCACTTTCACAGTCGGTCTAGGCGCGCGGCACGTAAAGGAAGGAGGACTCGTGCGTAACCAAGCGGCCCGCGACGGTCCGCGCCGCGCGGCCGAGCGCGGGCGGCGGACGGGCCGGCGTGGCGCCCCGCATTCCATTCGCATGAGAAGGAGCGGACCCGACGGGCCCTCCCCGGAGCCCCGGCCAAGCTGGCCATTTAAAGTGGCACCGGAAATGCCCCGCGTTCGCCGAGGCCTCGGGGTCTCCAGGCTCCCCAACACCGCCCCGCCCCCCCGCTACTCCAAAGTTTCCAGAACGAGGCTCGGGGCCCCGGCACGGCGACCCGCCCCCGGGCTCGCTCGTGCCCACGAGCCCCTCCGGCCGTCAGCCCCGCGGCCCTGGCCCCCGGCCGAGCAGGAAGCCCGGACCGAAGAGGAGCCGGGTCGGCCCGGGGCAGCTGCCCAGCCGCCCGCCCGCCCGCCCTTTGCCCCGGGGAAGTCGCGGTACCTGGCGCGGGTGGGGGGGCCCTCAGCGTCCCAAGTGCCCCCCCCTCCTCGCCCGCCGGGCGTCCGGGCAAGGCCAAGGCCACGGGCCGGGCTCACTCGCCCTTCGCGGTCCGCCCGGGCGGCGGCGGGGGCGGCGGGGGCAGCGGCGGCGGCTCGAGCGGCGGCGGAGGCCGCATCGTCGGCGGGGTCGGGGGGCGCCTCGGCCGGGGCCGCTTACATAAGCTGGGGGGGGGGGCGCGGCGGGCTCCGGCCCGGGCACGTCGGGGGAAGTTGAGGGGAGCGGCGGCGGGACGGCCGGGCGGGCGGGAGGAGGCCAGGCCAGGCGGGGGGAAGGGGCGGCGCTCGCCAACTCTCACTAGTGGGGCGTCACAGGTGCGGAGGGAGTCACTTCCAGCGGTCCCGGGCCGGGAGCGGCGTGACTCACGGGGCCGGGCCGGGCCGGGCCGGGGCGCCCTCCCGGGTGGAGAATCGGGTCGGGAAGGGGCAGGCACCACTTTCTCGTACTAAACGTCCCTCTTAAGAGAGAAGAAGAGGTGCCCACGAGTCTAAACTTATCTTAGGAACTTTACAGGAAGTAAACTTTAACGTTAACATAAACAATTCAACGTTTAAAAGCAACTGAGAACTCAACGTGAACTAAAAAGCTGCTGCAGAAGACCTAACTACTTTATAGCACTTTGTGGTATAGCACGAAGTGCTTACGCCTCTTACCTCATTTGATCCACACCGAAACCTTGTGAGGTCAGTGCTTTATTATCTCCATTTTACAAATGAGGAAACTGAGGCGGAGAAAGATTAAGAGACTTGTCCAGGGTCACGAACAGCTAGGACGCTTTCCAAAGCAGCTCTTCTGACTCCACGCCCAGCGCCCAGCGCCCAGCAGGCTATCTGGCGGCGCACAGCTTAGCTGCATGCATTGTCAAGCCGCTTTAGGAATCGGTGATGACAAGGCTACAAACAAACGTGAACTTTGAGATGAAATCCTAAAGTTTTTACTTGGTGGGAAAAAATTCATTTTAAAACTCCGTGTCTGATTTATGTTCCCACTTCCCTATTTCTGTTCAAAACAGAAATTCTCTTTCCTCACAAAGGCACTCCTCTCCCTAACTTATTTATTTCTGTCTCGGACACCTCCCAGGTGTGTTCACAACATAAAGATTGTCCTTGGCTCCTCACTGCTCCCCACTGCACCCACCCAGTCATAGTGTACCTCCATAAGCTCCCACACCTATCTCCTTCTCCACTCCCATCTCTCACCTGCCTGTCCATCCCAGGCCTTCATCATTTGTCACTCGGACTACTGCAATAACTTCCTCATTGATCTAACTGCCTCAGATCTGTCTCCGATCCACAATCTCTTTTCCACACAGTGGTCTGACCATGTTCCCTTCAAGTTCAATAAGCTCCCTACTGCCTTTAGAATCAAAAACCATTCTAACGGCCATTTTAAAGGCCTCCACAGCCTGACTCCAATCCTCCTTTCCAAGCCTGATACACAACAGGCATCTAATCAATGTTTGTTGACTGACTACTCCCTTGATGGACTCTATGGTGCAGCCAGATCTGGCCTTGCTGCTGTTCACACACTAGCCCCTCTCCTGTTTCCCTGCCTTTGGCACTGGCCTGTCCCTTAAACAGGGAATGCAACACTCTTCTCAAAATTGGCTTCGTGGACTCCTAGAATGCTACGTGCAAAGGTCAGCTCAAGGGTCACGCCCTACATGGAGTCCTTCCTGATCACCCTGGCTATAAGTTTTCTCCTCCCCTGGAAAATTAGTTATTTACTTTGCATATATTTTGTATATTCTTCAATGTAAGACTTTGTTACAACATTTTATGACATTCAAATGAAAAGCTAAACACACTATCCCAAGTTTTGAT